AAACCCCTTCCGACATCCGATTAAACGTCCGATATGGCACCAAAAAATTTTTATTTCACCAACTAAACAGGCCCTAACTCATGTTCTATCGAAATTAAAAAAAAAACGCATGTTGCCCGTCCCTATCGCGACACCATCGTGGTGGCTGGTGTCTGTCCAATGGGAAGACATGTATATTTATGCAACTTTTATTAAAAAAAAATTGTTCCTCTGTTTTTAATATATGATGCTAACTTTTTATATGACATGTGATCGTTCATCCTATTAAAATATTTATATAAATGTTATTTATTTGTTTTGATATGTTTTACCGTTAAATAAACTTTAACCATGGCTTATATTCTAGTATATTGAAAAAGAAAATAACATTTACATATAATGATTCGGCAACTTCCATGGATGTAACTTTTACATAAGCACGCGAGATGATCGATCACTCGCTACGCTCAAGGCTAGGCTAGAGCCCAATGACGAGGACACGCACAAGAACGCGATCTTTTCACTAGCTCAGCTCTCGCCCAGTGAATGGGAGATGTTTCTCCAAATTATCGGGATGGATATAAGAAATTGTGATCGAGCTCCTATCTTCAATTCTTCATGCGTATAGCCATAAAGTTCTACGAGGAAGAAATTAATGTGCTTATGTAAAAGCATCTTGTTACTTTCGTTAAGTCTACTCTGCCTTTTGGACCGAAGAATTCAGAGGCAGCCAGGTTCGTGTATCAGGGATCAGATTTTTGACAGTAAGATGCAGAAGTGTTTTCCAGAAGATGATAGCAAAGTGCATAATCCGTATGTCGTGTTCGTTAATTGTCTGCCAAATTCAGCTGGCAGGTTGTGCACTTGTGCGGAAATTAACCGAAGAACTGTTGAAAATATAGGCATATAATGATTTAATATATTCCATAAATAAATCATGACATTACAGATGTATACTAGTATTAACGCATCATTAGATTTACACATGTAAACTAAGCAGTAAAACATGAACAGATCAAATATGCGCAATATGTCGAACACGTACCGAGTTGGCGGAAAGACCGGTTGCTCGGCAGGAACTACTCGCGGTTGCGAGCGTCGACAAAGGCGCGCAGCACGTGAGCGGAGAGGAAGGCGAGCCGTCACGGATGAACAGGTAGCAGTCGCGCGAAACGCTTCCCAAAAACCTTATTGCCGTCTTCTCCCGATGCAGGACGTCGAAGACAGAGGTTCCGGAGACCTGCTCTCCCGATCGCCGGTGCACGCTGGCGAGCGGGATGGAGTAGTCTACGAGCGACGACACAACACAGAGGAGGAGGCAAACCCTAGATTAATTTCGCGTGTGTTGCGTGAAGGCGGCGGCACGGTTTATATAGAGATAGGTCGCTTGATCAGGGCGCCCGCACGATCTCCACTCTGCGTAACCGAGCCAGATAAGTCACGCATAACTTATCCGGACTCCACGCCGTTTTCATGCACCGGATTTTTCGGAATGTTTCCAACAACAAAACAAATCCGAATTTTCGTGCGTAACTTATCCGGACTCCACGCCGTTTTCACGCACCGGATTTTAAACAAAATTGCAAAAGGAGGCTGCATCTGCTCAAGGGTGAGGAGCCAATTTTGCGGACCATTCGACGCGTACGTCATGCGCGCGCCGCCTGCCCTGCTAGGCGAGCGAGCGCGCGTGTTCCCCCTCTTCTCTCCACCATACATGCTTCAAGTGGCTAGGAGGGCATCCTTCCTTTTAAGGAGGTCCCCCTCTTCTAGAATAAGTAAGGTGGTACTAAACTAAACTCCACATGTATGTCATCCCATGAGGTAGGCTTTTGTGATTTTCCAAATAATTAATTTTCGAATGGGCCTTAGCCCATCTATTAATTCCACCAAGCACAAGAAGAGAATTTCAGGCACTGGTGTTCGCGCCATCAGATCGTCATCGCGGCGCTTACCGATTTGATTTCGATAGGCGGTGCAATCGAATTGGAAATTTCGTACAATCTTTTTGCGCGTTCGCGAAGAATTAGAAATTTCGTAATGGCACACGCTAACTATATGAGGGAATGACATGCATGGAAGAAGAATTAATCCAGCATTACTTTCTCCGTATAAACACTCCGTAATATCAAATTTTACACCCAAAATATTTGGTATAGAAACTACTTCATCCGTTTCAGGTAAAAATCAAAATATTTTAATTTTGACTAAGTTTATAGATAAATATAGTAATATTTATAATACTAAATTATTTTTATCAAATCAATAATTGAATATATTTTCACAATAAGTTTGTCTTGGGTTGAAAATGTTATTATTTTTTCTACAAACTTGATCAAACTTAAAACAGTTTGACTTTAACTAAAATCAAAACGTCTTATAACCTGAAAAGGATGGAGTATATTACATATAAATATATGTCATATAAACTTTTTTAAGTAGAAACATTTGGTATAGAAACTTCGTATCTACTACTACTTAAAAAACAAGAGGTGCTTCCATCGTCCGTCAAAAAAACCGGGTGAAAAAAAACCGGGCAGAAAAAACCAAGTTTGTCCGATAAAAAAACCGGACGAAAAAAAAAGTCCGATCCAAAAAAAAAGTGAAAAAAAAAACCGGACTACTTAAAAAATAAGAGGTGCTTCCATCGTCCGTCAAAAAAACCGGGTGAAAAAAAACCGGGCAGAAAAAACCAAGTTTGTCCGATAAAAAAACCGGACGAAAAAAAAGTCCGATCCAAAAAAAAAGTGAAAAAAAAACCGGGCAAAAAAAACACCCGTCCCTGGCAAAAAAACACCCGATCCCTTAAAAAGGGAAAAAAAGTCCGAGAGACAAACCGTTTAATGAATAAAAAAAGCGAAAAAAAAAGAGTCCGATTCCCTGGAGAAAAAAAATCTGATTTCCCTGGAAGAGATCCGATCTGTATTGGATTGGAGAAAAGAAAAAAAACACTTCTCTAGGTGCTTCTGTCGTCCGTCAAAAAACGGGAGAAAAAAACCGAGCGAAAAAAAAAGAAAAGTCCGATAAAAAAACCTGGCGAAAAAAAACCGGGCGGAAAAAAAACAAATATGTCCGACAAAAAAAAAAGGAAAAAAAAGGAAAAAATACCGAAACGAATCCGACTACATCGACGCGGTAAAAAGAGTTTAAAAAAATAAAAAGAAAACTGTCCTATTCCAAAGAAAAATGAATTATATGTATCGTGGAGAAAAAAAAAAAAGAAAAGTCCGATAAAAAAACCTGGGCGGAAAAAAACCGGGTGGAAAAAAAACAAATCTGTCCGACAAAAAAGAAAGCAAAAAAAGGAAAAAAATCGAAACGAATCCGACTACATCGACGCGGTAAAAAGAGTTTAAAAAAATAAAAAGAAAACTGTCCTATTCCAAAGAAAAAGGAATTATATATATCGTGGTAAAAAAATCGACCAGGCGAAAAAAGAAAAAAATAGTCCGATCCGAAAAAAACAGGAGAAAAAAAAATGGGCGAAAAAAAAATTTGTCCGATAAAAGAAAAGGAAAAAGCTGAAAAGAATCTGACTCCATCGACGCGGTAAAAAAAGGCGAAAAAAAACTTTCCGATAAAGAAAAAGGAATTATATGTGATGCGGTAAAAAAAATAAAAAAACCAGGCGAAAAAAAAGATAAAAGTCCGATAAAAAAACGGGGCGAAAAAAAAAAAATCTGTCCTATCCAAAAAAAGCCAAAAAGGGGAAAAATCAAAACGAATCCGACTCCGTCGACGTGGTGAAAACAGGGCGAAAAAATTCCAAAGCAAAGGGAGAAAAAAAATCAAAACGAATCCGACTCCGTCGACGCGGTAAAAAAAGGGCGAAAAAAATCCAAAGTAAAAGGAATTATATGTGACGCGGTAAAAAAAATCGATCGGGCGAAATAAACCGGGCAAAAAAAAAATCTGTCCGATCCAAAAAAAGGGGAAAAAATCAAAACGATTCCGACTCCGTTGACGCGATAAAAAAGGGCGAAAAAATTGTCTATTTCTAAAGAAAAAGGAATTATACGTGATGCGGTAAAAAAAATCGAATCCTATTATATCTAGAAAGGTTTGACACTATGTGAAAGTGGTGAAAAAAACCCTTCGTAAAAGAAATGCACGAGAAAAAAAATTAAAAGGACGGAAAAAAGCGCGGAGGAAAAAAGTCAAATTTATATTCGTCGTTTTTTAGTCCATTTATATATCTTCTTTATCTCTAATCTAATCTAATCTAACTATAAAAAGAGAAGTTTCTATAGTATATTAAAAAAGGAAAAAATGAGCGAGAAAATAAAAACGGTTTAAAAAAACACGTGAGGGAAAAATGTCAGAAAAAAGCACAAAAGAAAACGCGCTAGAAAATAAAGTTTCGTAGTTCTAATTTTCTGATTGTTATCGACATGGTTATGCATGAAAAACGTATATTATCATTACGTTTTTTCACCCGTTGCAACGCACGGGCATATTTGCTAGTATAGTACTAATGTATAAATTAAATAAAAAAGAAAAAAAAGAAGAAGACAAAAACACTCGATTGGGCTACGTATCCAGCCCAAATTGGATTTGCACATGCGAGAGAGAGAAAACAGCCCGAGTTCATGAAGGAGACCTCCATGCAGTCACAAAGGAGACCCATGTGAAGCATCTCAAATTGCAAATAAATAAATAAAGCAACGCCGCAAAATCATCAGATGGTAAAAGAATATTTTACTTAATGGAAAAGGGGGGAGCAATGCTCTCCTAGTTCAAAAAAAAAAGAGAATATTTTACTTCCCTGAATTATTTCACTAGATCATTTAACTCCCTAAATAATTTCTCGGTTCATTTTACACCTCGAGCGGTATTTTTCTTATTTCTCTCTCTATATGTCGTAATTTGCAATGAAATTTGGTATTATCAATTTTTTATCTAGTCTTTCTCACAAAATGTCTTTTCTTTCTCAGATTTATAGAAACATTAAAAGATAACTGATTGAGCAATAATTTACCATATTTCATGATAGGTAATTCTGTGATAATGCGATCAATATCTGGATGGTAACTTATCTCAATCTCAGTAAATATATAATTCGTCTCGAAAGCCTTCCACGAGAGCTGGATCGCTCGAGCAGCTCGAGCATGTCGTGCTCGCGTGGGTGGTGGAACGACCTCCCGTCGGATCTCCTCGCGCTCGTCGCCGGCTGCCTCACGTTCCAGGCCTACACCCGCGCCCGCGCCGCCTGCGCCGCCAGGCGCGCCGCCCTCCCCGCGATCTCCTCGCCGTCGCTCCTCGTCCTCCACGACGACCACCGCGAACGCTCCAGCTTCTCCGCATGGTTCTTGTCCCCCAGGATCTCCATCGCTAGCTTGGCCACCAACCTGATCTCTACGGGGAGGGCGCAGCGCTGCGTCGGCTCCGGCCATGGCTGGGTCGCCTTCGGCGACTTCAATGCCTCCCTCGTGAACGCGTTCACCGGCGACGAGATCCCCTTCCATTCGTTCCCGGAGAAGCACGGCGTGGTGATGTCGAAGGTCGTCTTCGCGCCGAACCCGACGCCGGCGGAGTTCACGGCGGCGGCGATCACCGGCCACCTCCGCGTCACCTACACCACTCGCGGGAACAGCGGATGGACCGACGTCGAGCTCCCGCGTCTCGGCGCTATCGGCGGCGGGGACTACATCGCCGACGTGGTGTACCACGAGAAAGAATTCGGCGGCGGCAAGAAGAAGAAGGTGGTGTACTGCCTCACCGGAGGCGGCGACGTGCTCGTCCTCCGCCTCCCCGCCGGCCGCCGCCGCCGCCAGCGAAGGCCGGCGTCGTTCGAGCCACTGTTCGACAAGGCGAGCGCCGTGTTCTACCCGGCGGCCGCGTTCGCGCCACCGCACAGCACGGGCGACAAGTACCTGGTGGTCTGCGATGACGGCCATCTCTACCAGATCTGGATGGACGAAAAGATCTCCTATGGCAGTGGCGCCATAGCATCCGTTCTCAGGTACTACCCTCGCCGCCGGCCGTGCTGGCTGCCGGCGAAGGATCTCGGCGGGCGCTCGTTCTTCGTCGGGGTGAACAACGCGGTGGCGCTGCGCGTGGATGGTGGCGGCGGCGGCGCGTCGGGGCTGAGAGGCAACTGCGTGTACTGGAGTGCCAGGTGTAGTAGCCGGGCCAAGGTGTTCGACGTGGAGTCCGGCAAGTCGGCGACATGCTTTCCGGTGGTCGACTTGGAGACGGGCAAGTCGGCGCCGGGCTTTCCCGGCGGCGCGGAAGCTCATAGAGCCCTCTGCTGGTTCTTCTTGGCTGATATGCGTAGCAGCAGCAGCAATACGAGAGTGGGAACGTCGGCTCATCAGCTTCAGAAAAGGGCTCGTCATGCATGAATTATCGGACCGAGTTTTATAAGACTACTCTCGCTCCGCTTCAGATTACAAACCCTTGTTCATTTTGAAGGATTCCTAAAGTAAATCTCAATTCCTTTGGAATAAGCACTATTTATACATTCCGTCTGTAGAAACACTATGCCAATCCTCCAAAATATGCTAATTCCATAGAAATGAAAACATCCACGCCATCCTCTTTTCTTTAGCTCAGTGTAGGTCTATAGGAAAAATTTATGTGTTCCAATCTTTTTTTTCACGTGCATTTCTACATTATTTCTACGTTTTTATTATTACTGTGATTTGATCAAAGTCAAACCCCACTCTAAATTTGATCAAGTTTGTAGATAAGTATAGTAATATTTACAATACCAAATTAGTTTCACTAAATCTATAATTGAATATATATTCATAATATATTTGTGTTGTGTTGAAAATGTTATTAGTTTTTTCTATAAACTTAGTCAAATTTGAAGCAGTTTAACATTATAACTTGAAATGGATAGAGTAAATGATATCCCGTACGTTGCTAAGAAATGACGATATCCCGTACTTTGCTACGAAATGACTATGTATATATAGATAGCTCGACAACATATGCAAGCTAGATAGATAGCTCGACAGCATATGCAAGTTATACTAAAAATAAGAAGGAATGAACAAAAGAAAATTAAAGAACTTAGAACTTTTCGATTAGTTTGGTTGTGAAGATCAATTGTGTTCTCAATAGAAGGAAACACACATGAATAAAGAAAAATTCAAAAGGTTTTTAACTTCAGTTTGAAATGAGCTGAGGCTGAGCTGAGATATTCTTCTAGCTATTCAATGGTCAAAACTTTTATGGTGATGTGGCTCAATGCATGTTGAACTTGTGGTTCCAACTATACCGTATTTGTAGCTAATTAGTAGATTAGTTCTAATGCAACAAAAGTTCATAATTTTAACTTTGATCCTCTTTGACATAGCTTCAGGTCTAAAAATTTCATATACCTCTAGGTATTACTAACTTCACAAATCCATATATTTATATATGCGATTATGTTAATAACATTTGGATAAATAAATTTTATTCTCATTTTAAATAAAATTTATTTTTAAAAATCACTATAATTTAATATACAAACTCCAAATCTAACGTGGATTTGATATCTAGAGCTGCGCTTGTATGATCTAATAACATTAGTTTTACTTGTGCTTAGAGAATAAATAAATTTCCTTAAACCATGATACGTTTTTCATGAGCGCGTAAAAAACGAATCTTTAGATCTAGTTGATGGTATCTAGTTGGTGCTTTATTAATAATTAACAAAGGCACACATATGACCAGGAATGTTTCCCGTCGCGCGGCCGATTCCATCTGACGCTTTCCATCATTTCCTCTGCAATTACAAATATATAGCTATCAATCTACATTGTTATAATACTTACCACACCGATAAAGAAAATCTTTTCTTTCTCGGATTAATTAATTGATTACTACCTCCATATTTTAATGTACGACGCCATTAACTTTTTGTCCAACGTTTGACTATTCGTCTTATTAAAAAAAATTATGTAATTATCATTTATTTTATTGTGATTTGATTCATCATCGAATGTTCTTTAAGCATGACATAAATATTTTTATATTTGTATAAAAATTTTAAATAAAACGAATAGTCAAACGTTGGTCGAAAAGTCAACGGCGCCAAATACGGAGGGAGTAATTTTTAAGATTATACAGAATAATAGTTTACCCTTTTGCCCTCTCTTATACTTACTACGGTAGTTTTGAGATAATCCGATGAATATCTTTAACTAACTTAATCACCCAGATTTTTTTCTTCTGGATGATCCCAATCTCAATCTCATAATAGTTAATTTTATCCGAATATTTTGACGAGAGAGCAAGCGGCGGTCGAGTCGATCGAGCTTGGCCGCCATGGCGCGTGGGTGGGAGGACCTGCCGCCGGACCTCCTCGTGCACATCGCCGGTGGCTTCTCCATCCAAGCCTACACCCGACTCCGCGGCGTCTGCGCCGCCTGGCGCGACGCCCTCCGGCCGCCCTCGCCGTCGCTCCTCGTCCTCCGCGACCGCCACGCCGGGCAGCGCTTCGCCGCCTGGTGCGTGTCCCCGAGGATGGTCTCCACCGCGCTCCACGAGACGCTCGCCGCGAGGCTCTCCCCGGCGAGCCGCTGCGTCGGCTCCGGCGACGGCTGGGTCGCCGCCCACGTGCCCGGCGGCGCCGTCCTCGTGAACCCTCACACCGGCGACGAGATCCCGCTCCACTCTTTCCCCGGCGGCGGGGGGAATAATGTGGTGGTGTTCAAGGTCGTCTTCGCGCCGAACCCGACGCCGAGCGAGTTCACCGCGGCGGCGATCACCGGCGGCGGCCGCGTCGTCTACACGACGAACGGGAACAGCGGATGGACCGACTTCAAGTGCCCCCGCCTCGGCGCTCACGGCGACGGGGGCAGCATCGCCGACGTGGTGTACCACGACCACGGCGGCGGCAAGAAGGTGGTGTACTGCCTCACGGCCGGCGGCGACGTGCACGTCCTCCGCCTCCCCGCCGGCGGCCAGCGAAGGACGACGGCGTCGCTGGTGCCACTGTTCGACAAGCCCGCCGCGACGTTCTACCCGGCGGCCGCGTTCGCGCCGCCGTACGACACGGTCCGCACCTTCGCCGACTCCAAGAACCTGGCCGTCTGCGGCGACGGCCAACTCTACCAGATCTGGAGGGACGACGACGCGAACGCCACCATGTTCGTCCTCAGGTACCACCCTCGCCGCCGCCCGTGCTGGCTGCCGGCGAAGGACCTCGGCGGACACGCGGTGTTCATCGGGAAGAACAACGCGGTGGCGCTGCGCGGGGACGACGGCGGCGGCGCGACGCCGGCGCCGAGAGCCAACTGCGTGTACTGGACCGACGTCTGGACCGATCGGGCCAAGGTGTTCGACGTGGTGACCGGCGAGTCGACGTTGTGCTTTCCTGGCGCAGAAGGTCACAGTGTCGTCTGCTGGTACCACCTGGGTGACGTGCGCAGCAGCAGCCGTACGAGTGTGGCAACGTCATCAGCTCATCAGCTTCATAAAAGGGCTCGCCATGCATGAATCAGCCCAAGCTTTTTTATAATGGTTTTGCTATTTCACTCGCGATAGATTTTTGAATTTCTATGTTTCAATTTTTAGTCTGTAGGATTTTTCATCAAGATTCGTATTCCTGTGTATTCAATTTGCAGTTACATTCTGTTAACATTTACGCTTAGTTATATAGCACTTACACTAAGTTAAAGTGCACAAAAATTAGATTTTTACAATAGTTTATTTCCTCTAGATTTACAATTTTGACTTTTCTTTTTATGTTGTAGTTTCATTTAATACGGGATATATTTTACAGTGCTTTAAAATTGTTTTCGACCATCCAATTAATGTTGATCCAATGTTCATTGGAGGTAATGGGATTGGATATGATCTGTGATCCATGCTTGACTTTCTTTTTCCGGTGCTTGCATAGAATTATCTTAGTACTATTTCATTTAAGTCTACTCTGCTTTTGGACCCAAGAATTTTTTTGAGGTGAAAGCTTTTGGACCCAAGAATTCAGACTCCACACCCGCGTATTATGCAAATCTATTAATTTCAACACTGGTTTCAACTGTACATGATTCAAATGTTACTTATCTGCCAAATGAATTTAATCTTTGTCACGTCAGAAACCTAGCTGTATGCCTGTATCTCTGAAGCATAACTTGATAAGTTTCAGCCAAAGTTATGCAAACGAATCTTAGAAATTAAGCAAATGGTGACTTATCTGTTGACTTTTCCACTATCAACTCGAAAAAAACCCAAGAAACACAGCAAAATCTGATGCACCGTAGGGGAGTACTTGGTTTGGTGAAAATGCGATCTAATGATGCACTCAAAGTTTTTATCTGTTACTCTTGCAAAATATCAATGCAATCAAAACAAGACAAATCATTTACAGAAAGCAGGAAATAAACATCGAAGGCAATTTTCTCCATTACTGATGATAAGTACAAATGGGCACGCTCTGCTCATCTTGTCAATAGGAATATCAGCAAAGGTTCTGCTTTTTTTTTTCACCCTTGTAAAGGTAAAGGCCAGTAGGCCATTATACCCTAAAAAAAAGAAGATAACACTAAATATGTAAATAATAACATGCCTTATTCTAGGACAGTATAATTAGCATATCACATTGTCCCCTATTCCTTAATTATAGTCAAACTGCACATCTATATCTCAAGTTTCCACCATTGTAATTCTTTTGTAACTGTCCTTACCTCTTGCAAGCTAGCTACTGCACCATGTGAGATTCTTTTGTAAGCTGTTGTTTCTGTCCTCTTCTAAAGTATAAAATGAACACCATGTGTTTATGTGCCTCCTAATTATTTTTTTTCAAAAAAGATGTGCCTCCTAATTATGACCAGTGAGATTTTCTTCTGCCTTCCTTCTCTATCTACAACAAAAATATTGTTGCTTTTTGTTGTCTCCTCCTGTGTGTGTATACTTATGTTACTCTTGGACCAAATTACCATCAAATGCCTAAAGGGGCACCTGAATTCCGAACCCAAGGCCCAAAAGTCTCTTTGTAATTTTTTTCCTCCTATATAATTGTGGATATGCTGTTTCCAGCAGGCGCTGATGCGGCGAATGGACTCTCAGGCAGCAGTTCAATCTGGTTACTGCAGTTAGAAATCAAATGAAGCAATCCAGTGAACAAAGAGGAACTAGCTCAATGTCAGGTAGCAACATATATGCAAGAAATTGGCTGCAAATATGTTTGTACCTCTCATGGTCATCATAAATGTTGCCTGCCTGTGTAGGAGGAGCTTGGCTGTTTGAAACGATCTCCAGTGGATCAGGGGATGCAAGGGATGGATTCATAAGGTCGAGTTGTTTCGAATCTGTTCACAGGAAAAAAACGCCGCATAAAACCATCAGGATATTTGGCCGTGCACTATTCAGTATTCACTATACTATTAAAACATTTCTCCACGCTTCAAAAAATATGTTTTGGTAAGAAACACCGTTCTTCTACTGCACTTATTAACCTAATCATTAAGTTCATTACTTAAATTATTTAATTTATCACTATAATCAAGTAGATAATCCTTGAGCCACTAAACAAACTTCAACCAGGGAGAAATGGAACAACTAGAGGTATAATTCTGGCAATGACCAATGAATGACACAACACACAGACCATCCTGGAGAGAATGGAGGGGACTGGCGTCCTCAATGCTGCAATCGAAGTATGCAAACTGTGGCGGCATGGATTCAAGCCTCCGAACTGTGGCGCGCCGCCTCTCCATCTCCAAGAGCATCTCGCGCTTCTCTGCCAACTGCTTCCTCATCAACCTCGAAGCATCATACTCTGCTGTTGCACAAAATTGAAGCAAGATGAAGGTTGAGAATTAATCGGTGCCCATTGTGATGATGTGTGCATGCAAATGCTATTATACCTGTGTAGAGCTCTTGATCAAACTCAAAGAAGCGTGGAGGACAGTAGGGAACCATCGATTTGATGTTGTCCACGCACGTCCTGCACGTGAAAATTGCAATATTTATAAAAACTTTAATTAATTTAATTTGCTCGTCACAAACACAAAAAAGTAGTAACAGCTAGAAGTACTAACAAGTCCATGGGAAACACCATTTTTAATAATTTGAAAACTCTACTGTGAATTGAACTATCTGTTGGCAAGAACCAAGAAGGGTAATGGTTACCTGTCGACGCATTTGGATTTCTCCCTGTAGGGCTTGACGAGAACCCGCGATCCGCAGATGAAATGCGGGTTGCGCCGCATCAGGATGGTGCTCACCGTCTCCGGGCTCTGGAAGCTGACGAACCCGAACATGCGCCGCTCTTGGCAGGGGATCCTCACGTCGCGCACCGGCCCGTACTGCCTGTCAAACGCAATCAAACAAGCGAAAATGGCCATGTCATTTAAGATTTGGAAAGAAGCAAACAAGTTGCGGTTTATACATGCCGAATTGCAGACCCGAAGTAGTTGGCGACGTCGTCCTCGGCGAAGGTACTCTCGGCTGGGAAGGTGAGGTATATCTGGTGCGAGCTCGCCGGAACTGAGCCCGTGTCGCCGCCACCACCGCCGCCGCCACCTCTGAAATCCATGTACTTGGCAGCGTCCTCCGCGAGAACCACCGAATGCTGCCCGTGCGGCCTGTTCGTCAGACAGTAAATCAATCAATCAATCAAATTGAGAAGAAACAATCAACAAGATTGATAGAGAAGAAATGGAAGATTATTTTGGCATTACCTTTCGATGACCCGTATCTTGTTGAGGCGAGAGAGCAGCCTGGTGAGGCTGTATCCGGCCTTGCCATGGCGCTGGCTCTCGGTGAGGTAGCCGTCGGCTTGGAGTCCCTTGCCGTACTTCTCGCCGTAGAGCGTCGGCAGCGAGGCGATGGACACCGGCTGCCCGCGCCGCGAGTTGAGCAGCTCGGTGATCTCCATCTCCAGCGTCTCGAGCGAGCCCGGCGTCACGCCGCCTGGCTGGTGGTTGTACACGTCGCCGTTGATGGCGGCGCCGGCGAGCGCGTCCTGGTACACCTGGTGGTGCGAGTAGTGGCAGTTCTGGCCGTTCTTGCAGATGCCTTTGGAGAAGTAGTGGCAGGGACGTCGAGTGGACAGCCCGTTCGAACGCCGCGCCCTCGCCGGCGACCCCCCGCCGCCACCCCCGCCATTGGGGAAGGCGTCCTCGCCGGCCGGGTAGTAGTACCCGCCGCCAAAGTTGTTGTCGTCGAGGACGTGTTGGCCGCCGCGCAGCGGGTACGGGCCCTCCGCGGAGGCGTCGACGACGAGCCCGGGAGGCGCGAACTCCTGCTGCGCCGCCTTAGTCGGTGGCGCCGGCGGCGAGTCCGGCCAGTACTGCGGCGACTGGACCTGGTATCCAAAGGCAGCCGCGGCGGCGGCGGCGGGAGAGTAGTGATGGCGAACGCCGCCGCAAGCAGGTACCGGGGGGCGGGAGAAGAGCTGCTGCGGCTGCTGGTGATAGCCTCCGCCGCCGCCGACGCCGACGCCGCCGCCACCGGGAGGTCCGTGCGCGGCGGCGGCGGAGCAGCGGGCATAGATGACGGTGAGCGCGGCTTTAGTATCCTCGATCTTGGCGAGGAGCGTGGCCTCGGGACCATATGCGAGCTGCACCAACTCGTCCTCGTCGGGCTCCCTCAGCAGCATTACGCCGAATATCTTGCCGACATGCTCCGGCTCCACCCTCTGCACCCTCGCGAACGCCAGCTTCACTAACTCCGGCACCTCCATTGCCACCCACCACCACCACTGGTGGACATGAAACCTAAACCTAGCCTACCTCGATCGATCACTAGACGCCCGCAATGGAAGAATGGAATTGAAACAGGAGGAACACGAAGAACAAACCTGGGCCTCCTTTTATAACAACAAAGGAGGAATAAAATTCGAGATCGATCGAGAGCGCGCGATTCGATCGGGTGGATAGTATCGCGCGCGCATCGATCGCATCGCATCGCATGCGGGGGGATCGAGCGGAGGGCTCGCTCGCCGATCGAAGCCTAGTCGTCGCCTTGGCCCAGTTCAAACGGGGCGCGCGACTGCCTGCGTGCGTGCGTGCGAGCGAGAGAGAAGAAGGCGGAGAGGTTTGATGAGATGGAGTGGAGTACGTCGGTCGATTTTTTGTCATTTGCATGATATATTTGTTGATAGGGGAAAACGGCGATCTGATCGCTCGCTGATCCATATCCATATTGCCGGTTCCTGATTGGCCCGCTTATCACTATTAGAATTTAAGATAACTCTTGGAATTATAAATGGTAAAAAAAATGAGAGAGAAAACGAGAAATGCTGCAAATAGGACAAACCTCGTCACTGTCATATGCATGCCAAACTGTTTCTTCTCCTTCTTTTTTTTCTCTCTTTAAATTTTTTTCTCCTAAACTACTTATCCGATCTATAATCCGATCACACTGTTGTATTTTTTGTAATTAAATATTTACAACAAGATATCATATAATTATATTATGTCAAAAGAAAAACATATATTTTAAACCATTAAAACTCAATGTTTCATACGTAATAGTTATATGTTTCGATGTATGTTTTCAGTGTGTTTCAAAAAATCTTAAAACTACCTGCCACCACTCTCTCTTCTCTCTCCACCTCATCTATGCATGCATACATTTGAGAGCTTCAAAATGATTTTTCTCCTAAACTAATTATTCAATCTACGATCTAATTACACCATTATAATTAAATCTTTACAACAAGATATTGCATAATTAAATTTTGATGAAAGAAAAACGTGTGTCAATCCGTTAACATTAGTTATTTCATATGTAATAGCGATATGTTTCAACGTGTATTTTATTATGTTTCATAAAAATTTTAAATGTCTGGAACATGTTTCACACGTGATGGGAAGATTCTTCCGAAAGAAAAAACTCCCAGCGCTGCGCTGCTCTACTTCTTCAATTCCCCTCTTTCTTGCTACGCACACACATTAGTCTTTGACGTGCGGAATGAAAGCAGGTTCCCGGTCCTTCCAATGGAATCAAAGAAATAAAATCTAGAGCTTTCCAAAGTACTACTCCCGATAAGAAATCACAGGATAACATTAAAAGGACCAATGAAAAGTATTGCAAATCTGAAAGAAAAATAGATAAGAAAAATATAAACAGATCTGAAAAAAAATAAAGTACACGTTCAGTTTTAAAACTTGTTTGTTTGTGTCCTCCAAGTCTCTAAATTTTTAAAATATGGCTCCCATCGGATGGCCTATTCAGCCAAAAAAAAGCCAAAATTTAAATTTTCAAACTTAATTTTGACATTGATTTTGAGATATTTTCAACGCAGTTTCTTTTTCAGCATTGCCTTTTAAGTCACCGAGAACACATATATAAAAGTTTTACCTACCAATTCATTTTTATTCTCTAATAAGCCAAAATAAAAAAACCAAACGATGAGGCCCTATACTTTTAGGTCCCTTAATTTGCTAAAGTGTATCATTCTGATCCTAAATTGCCATGACCTGAGTGATCGTTGGACTATTTTTCCTTTTTTCTTTTTTCTCGCCTTTCTATTCTCTTTCTTCCTTTCCGCTCGTGTGAGAAAAAATACAAAAGAGAAGAACTAATCCAAGAGAAGAACTAATCCTCCACATGTGCAAAACAAAGGAGAGGGGAAGAAAAATATTGGGACAGGAATGTCCGTGTAGCATGCCACGTCAGTGCCACATCAGTGTATGTTAGGAACTAATCCTCCACATATGCAAAACAGAGCATAATATTAGCGTTTGATAAGTAAGTATTAGCTTAATAGATTTGAAAAATAGATTAATATAATTTTTAAGGTAACTTTTTAATATAAGGTATTTTTTTTAGAAAACGTATTATTTAGCAATTTGATAAGCGTGCGCGTGAAAAAGAGAAAATAGAAGTTAGAAAAGGACATAAAAGAACACACCCTAACCATGAAAAAAAAAAGATGATGAGAGTGATAACTAAGCAGAAAAAGGTATATATGCAACAAAGGACTAATGGAAAAAAAATACAATTCTAAATTCATGCAAAACTGATCGGTATAAAAGAAATGGGATAGAATTAGGAAAGAGAAGATGGGAGAAAAAACTAGGGGGTTAAATACAAATAGATTTGTGTCTTGATTTTGTTAGATTTTTGTTTTCATTTTTTCTAACATTCATCTGACTGAAACTATGTATTGCTAATACTCGATGTTACAAGGGCTAAATAGCAAGCGCACCAATGTGCGCTCTGATTTTCTAGTTTACTTTAATTGGCGCGGTGATGGTGGAGAGGACGATCCCGTATTGTTCGTATGTGTGAACACACAAAAAATAAGTGCAAAAAAATTGTTTTTTTTTGGGGGGGAGGGGGGAGGATGAGTGATCCGCTCGACTCCCTACATGCAAGCAAGTGATTTGTCCTCCTTACATTGTTAGTACTGTTTGGTGTAACTATTTTTTTATAACAAAATCTCATATGAACATATGACTCTATTATGATTAAAGGAATAATATGTGGTAATCGTTAAAACTTGATGTTTGGTACGTAAAAATATTGAATGGTTTCACTAGAATTCGGCTGTCTTTATATATTCTGGTTTATTTTATGTACTAGTCATTGTTACTTAATGTTCATATAGTTTTATTAACGATGTTGCAACTAATATTTTTGAAGGAAAAATTCCAATTAACCCCCTAAACTTTAGATGGAAGTCTGTTTAGCACCCTAAACTTTGAAACCGGGCATTCAACCCCATAAATTTTACGGTACCTTTATATAACCCCTAAGATGATTTTTCATAATGGTTATATGAACTAGAAGGAGATGGCAGCTGAGTTGGGCTTATAACAACTGGCAAGCCAAGGAAATAATCTGTCTTCTATTCTTCGTGTTCCTTTTTTGAAAGGAGTGAAGGGATTCTTTAACTGTCAACGAGTGCCTATCTTCAATCAGCTATACCTATGTATACCTATGTGCACAGTACACTATAAGAAATGTCAATTGAATTTCTCGAAAACACGATCGACAATCTTTCCAATGGTATATAACACGATCATCATAAAATTCTATATACGAATTTATATTAAACTGAAATTGTTGGATGATCGAAATGGAATTTTCAGTTTCAGACGAGATTCCGGAGACCCTCTTGTCCACGAGGTTGACAATTCGACGCCCCACGTATGGCCCACTTGCAGGCCAGCCAAAGCTGGGACCCACCACCTGACGGCCTGACCCCACCATTCTTCTTCTCCAAGCAACCGTCGACGAAACCCCTTCTCTCCCTATCCATTCGACGAGAGATTGATCGAGCAGAGCACCATGGCTGCCATGGCGAGCTCGCGTGGGTGGGGCGATCTCCCGCCGGATCTCCTCGCGCTCATCGCCGACGGCCTCACCATCAAGGCCTACACCCGCGTCCGCGCCGTCTGCACCGCCTGGCGCGCCGCCATACCGGCGGCCTCGCCGTCGCTCCTCGTCCGCCTCGACTGGAACCGCCACGACGCGTGGTTCCTGTCCCCGAGGATCTCCACCGCGCTCCACGAGAGGCTGGCCACGCTCCTCCCTGACAGGAGCGTCTGCCTCGGCTCCGGCCACGGCTGGGTCGCCGTCCACGACCCCATCTTCTACGAGCTGCAGTTCGGCCTCGTCGATCCCCTCACCGGCGTCGACATCCCCTTCAGTTCGTTCCCGCATTTCGCCGAACACAAGCTGCGGGTGTCCAAGGTGGTGTTCGCGCCCCACCCGACGCCGACCGACTTCACCGCGGCGGCCATCACCGGCCACGACGAGGGCCGCGTCATCACCTACACGGCTCAGGGGAGCAGCGGGTGGGCCGACGCCGGGTGCCCCCGTCTCGGCGACCGGGACAGCATCGCCGACGTGGTGTACCACGAGGAACGCGGCGGCGGCGGCGAGAGGGCGGTGTACTGCCTCGCGACGAGCGGCGACGTGCACGTCCTCCGCCTCCACGACGCCGGCGGCGCGTTCGAGCCGCTGTTCGACAGGGGCAACGCGGCGTTCGACGCCGCCGCCGCGTTCGCGCCGCCGTACGACACGATCCGCCACTGCACCAATGCCAAGAACCTGGTGGTCTGCGACGACGGCGACATGTACCAGATCTGGCGGAACAACACCTGCACCAGGATGGGGCCATTGCCCGGCGGGGGAGAGTACCGCGTGGAGTACAACCAGATGTTCGTTCTGAGATACCACCCTCGCCGCCGGCCGTGCTGGGTGCCAGTGGAGGATCTCGGCGGACGCTCGGTGTTCGTCGGGAAGAACAATTCGGTGGCGCTGCGCGTGGACGGCGGCGGCGGCGGCGGCGGCGTGCCGGGGCTGAGAGCTAACTGCGTGTACTGGACTGACATCTGTCCAGCTCGGGCCAAGGTATTCGACATGGTTTCCGGCAAGTCGACGCTGTGCTTTCATGGCGTAGAAGACCACCGCGCCATCTGCTGGTACTTCTTGGCGTAGCAGCAGCAAGAAGCCCAACTCTAGGTTCAGCTTGTCAGCTTCCGGAATCGGATTGAGAAAGTTTGATTGAATTGGTTATGTGGTATTGGAAGTTTAGGCTGAATTCTGTGATAAGAGACAGAAGTTTTGGCTGTCTTCGTTGCTGTCATTCCGATGGTAAAAAAAAAATGAGATGCGGAAGTAAATTTTCAGTGCTGTGAAAATTAAACCTGTTTTTCATTGTTTCAGATTAAAATAGTTTCCCTGTTTTTGAGTGTATCTGATTGTTGCTTCTGTGATACAATAATGTAGCTGATCGAAGTTTCTGAGGCCAAAAGCATGGCCATATGGTTTCTGATGAATTCTGGTGGTGTAGCTAGCAGGTAGACTTGTGGATAAACTTTTCTTTTCTCCAACAAAAGTTGGATAAACTTTTGGATACTTGTGGCATGCTTTTCAAACTGCTAAATTGTGTATTTCGTGCGAAAACTTTATATATGAAAGTTATTATAAAATATCAAATTAATCAATTTTTCAAGTTTGTAATAATTAAAACTCAATTAATTACACGTTATTACTATTTCGTTTTGCGTGAAACACTTAATCTTTATCTTCATCTTCATCTTCAGGATATTCAAACACCACCTAACAGTGATATATTACAGTAGAGTTAGATGAACTGCAAAGAGATGTGCTGATCAGGGCAAAGCCAAGGAAATAATTCTGTCATCCATTCTTAGAGGCATCAATCTTTATTGTAGATGAAAAATGCAGTGTCCATATTCAGGCAGATGTATCTTTGTGCGGATTGATTTTCTGAAAATTTGATCGACTATATGTAGCATTACCACGAGAGCATTCATGTATGAATTTATCATAAGCTGAAAGGTTGGATGATGGACAAGGATTTTTCAGACGGGATAAGATTGATTGTTAAAGAAGGTGTCGTGCAACAACGAAATGCAGAGACCAGTGGATGGATGGGTTAGTTGTACTCTCTGAAGATTGAAAATTTTCAGTGCAAGCCGCTGGCAAATCTTTGTGCGTGAATTAGGAAACGGAGGGGGAACAAAATTTCATGCACCGTGTTCACATCATCATCACCCTGTCATCTCCGGCATCCTTTGAGCCACTGTTCGACAAGGCCAGCCGCAGGGTGTTCCACCCCGCCGTCGCGTTTGCGCCGCCGCACGACATGATCCGCGCCTCCTCCACCAATTCCAAGAACCTCGTGGTCTGCGGCGACGGCCATCTATACCAGACATGGAGGTGCGACGGCGTCCACATACTCGTTCTCCGGTACCACCCTCGCCGCCGGCCGTGCTGGCTGCCGGCGAAGGATCTCGGGGGATACTCGGTGTTCGTCGGGAAGAACAACAATGCGGTGGCGCTGCGCGTGGACGACGGCGGCGGCGCACCGGGGCTGAGAGGTAACTGCGTGTACTGGATAGACCATTGCAGTGATGAGGCCAAGGTGTTCGACATGGAGACTGGCAAGTCGGCGCCATGCTTTCCCGGCGTTGGCGCTATCTGCTGGTGTCATATGCAGAGCAGCAGCCGTAATACAACTAGTGTGGCAGCTTCAGCTTATCAGCTTCAGAAAGGGCTCGTCATGCGTGAATCGGCCTGAGTTCTCCGAGACTCTCTCTACACCTAGCAGCTTCCAGTTCGCTTTATATAGGATTACATAGTACTCCCTCCGTCGAATAAAAAACCAACTATTAAATGTTAACACATTCTATTACAACAAATCTAAACATACCATATATGTTCATATCCTGTGCTAGGTTAGAGTTTTTTTAAAAAAAAAAACAGAGAGAGTAGCTATTAATTAGGGGTGTTAGGATATCCTTAATGCATTTTCAGTGAGTGGATAATAAGGTGGGACCTACTCCCTCCGTTTCAAAATATAAATATTTTTGAACTTCGACATAGTATTTGAGATATTACTTTGACCAACAATATCTATAATAATAATAATAAGATGTTTTAAATAAAAATAGTTGCATATTTAAGATAGTTTGTTTAATTATAAATCTAGTAATATCAATTTTAGATTGTTTTTATTTATTTGCTATTAATAGTCAAAATTTAAAATGTTTGACTTGACACTATGCTAAAAATGATTATATTTTGGGACGGAGGGAGTATAAAATTAAGTTATACTCTCTTCATCCCAATGTAATCTCATCAAATCCTAAGTTATTATGGGATGGTTTGGTTTGTGGCATAAATATGTATTACCAAATTTTGTCAATGCCAAATTTTAGCAAGTTTTGACATGGCTAATTTTGGTAAGGCAAAGTTTTGTTTGGATTGAAGCCAAAATAGCCTAAGTTCACTATTGAAATGGCCTATTTTCTTAGACATGCCAAAATTTGGCTTCAAACCAAATAGACACAGAATACTATTGAAATTGCCAAATATTGGTAAGTCTAATTTAGACCTCAAACCAAACCAGCCCTATATTTTAGGATAGATGATGTGTTCATTTAATTCTAAGTTCATCTTATAGACACTCCTCCCCAACCAACGTAGCGTGCCACACCCCCAATCCTCTCCCCAACCAACGTATACATTGTAATAGTCTATTTAAAGGATTGCCAGATTACAAAAGTTCTGACTCGAACTTCACCTATTCAATTTCTAAGTCCAACCTTAACCAGATTATTTGAAATGTGTTTGGATTATTACACTACCAAATTTAGTAGGGTTAAAAATTAGTAGCGAAGTGAACAGGTCCTGTGAATTTCGTAGCACAAAATTTTGTTTTGTGCTAATTATAGAGGGAATGCCGATTGATGATTTCATAGTACAACTATCTTTTTGCGCCGAACACAAGATGGAATGTCGATTGATGTTGTAGCACGAGGAAGCCGGCGGCACGAAGGTGGACCTCTATAGAGATCAGGAAGGTGTTAAGACAAGGAGACCGGCAAAGTCGGTTCAGTGTTCTCCCAGTTTGCCTTTTGCATTGAAGAGGTAGCATAGGTAGAGGTAGCACTAACCATTAACATTGAGAGCAACCAACAAAATCCTCTTCTAGCTGTCAACACAAATTCACAATCAACCATTAACCAGTATCCAACACAACTGAATCGCAAAGGCCACGTTATTCTGGAGTAATAAACATTGAGAGCAACTACGAAAGAGCAAACTAAGCTGATCATGAGACGTTGCCCTACACGACCAAACAAACAAGCAGAAGTGAAGAGGTAGCACGAACCAAACACAAAGCCCATATATGCAACCAGCATAACAAAATTACAACTGCACTGGACGGCTTATATTCTTCACAAGCAAAAAAGTAGACTCAGGTCCATATCATCAGCATCGTTACAACTTACAAGTAGGTAGATTGGAAAACAAAATGCAACTCATTATCCCAACTAGCATTAACAGAGGGGGTGGGTCCTGATGAACACCGTCCACGTTTTATTCTCAGCATAGACAAAGCATACCGGTATCTCCGGCTCGGCGGCCATGGAATACCATGGCAAGCAAAAGGATTCTACTGGGTCTTGGCCATGTGGCGGATCAGGTCGATGACACGGTTGCTGCAGAAAATAGTTCAAAAAAGAAAGATCAGTAAGAGCAAATTGGGCATGGAGTATTGTACATGGTTAATAGTTTGAACTGCAAGTGGCTCACCTGTAACCCCACTCGTTGTCGTACCAGGCGACAAGCTTGACAAAGTTATCGTTAAGAGCAATTCCAGCCTTGGCGTCGAAGATGCTCGACCTGAGTCAAAGATGAGTACAGAGAATGAATGATAGCATACAGGAGATAGTTCGTCCGTAACCACTTAGTTTGGAGCAGATCTGCATTACAGATTTCTTACAGGGCCTCTCAAGACAAAAAGGCATACCTGCTGTCACCAACAAAGTCAGTAGAAACCAGGTCTTCCTCAACATATCCTATGATTCCCTTGAGCTTTCCCTCTGATGCAGACCTGTAAAACAATTAGCATATTCTCGTCAGGGACACACTACTAACTTAAGGATAACTTGTGCAGTTCTGCGCCCACCAACACACGTAACTACACTTTTCTAGGAATCCTTCACATGTATGTTTCAGTAACATACATCACTGAGCGGTATCCCCTGCCACAAGATGCAGTTCTAGCAACAGTGCGCAAAATGAGATGTACATTCCCCTTGCGTTGGAAGCTATATACTTACTTGATAGCACTCTTGATAGCATCATATGAGGCAGCCTTCTCGATTCTAACTGTGAGATCAACAACTGAGACATCGACAGTGGGAACACGGAAGGACATTCCCGTAAGCTTGCCATTCAAATCAGGAAGAACCTTGCCAACAGCCTGCAATGCATTGATGTTAGAAGTCATTAAGGCTGCAGTCCCATTTTACTAACAAAACATGCTTTCACAACCAAAAACTACCGCCCACATGCACCCCCTTTTCCCTAAGCAGGCCAGAAACAACTCTGAACAGAAGCATGAACAGCAAGCAATTCGTCATAGGACATGAGAGAGAATTCATACTTGAATAAAGACAGCGCACATGCTCATTTATCAACAAAAACTCTAGGGCTGAAATCAGCAAGCGCGCCATTTGTGCAGTTACTTGCTATTATCACTGGGTCTTCTACTTAACATTCCCAAATAAAGTCAAAAAGAAAACTATACGCAGCCCCATAACACAGGAGAATACAAAATTATTGGAACTATAAAGAGGATTTTGAACTGTGGTTGTGCATGCACAACATTGAAGTTCATGACGTACTTTGGCAGCACCAGTGCTGCTGGGAATGATGTTAAAACTGGCCGCCCTGCCACCCCTCCAGTCCTTGCTGGACGGTCCATCAACGGTCTTTTGGGTGGCTGAAAACAAGTACATCAGCGTTAGCTATTACAGAACATCTAGATGTTCATATTAGCTGCCAAAAAGCCAAGAAAGTCTTACCAGTGATGGCATGAACAGTTGTCATCAGACCCTCGATAATACCAAAGTTGTCATGAATGACCTATTGGATGATAACGAGTCAATTAAGAACCAAACCAAAAGTCCAACTGAAAGTAGAAAATTGTCACTCGGAAAGAAAAATACCTTGGCAAGAGGAGCAAGGCAGTTTGTGGTGCAGCTAGCATTTGAGACAATATCAATATCTGAAGTGTACTTGTCCTCGTTGACACCGCAGACAAACATCGGAGCATCTTTGCTCGGGGCAGAGATGACAACCTTCTTGGCACCACCCTGTTTTCAGAACAGCCATGTAAGCATAAAAAATGCACCGAAATAGCTAACTTATGCAACAAGGGAGATGCACAACAAGTACTTTTCAGAGTAAAAATAAACAAGGCATCAAGTAATA